TAATCCCCAAGGAATGACATGAGAAATAGGGAAAAGAGAATATCTGCCTCTGGGCTAAGTTTTAGCATCTTGTTTCCCTCATGAGCTGTCTCAGAACCTGAGCCAAAGCCCAGAGTGTGGCTCTGGTAGATCTTGTCCCCACCTCAACTCCTGTTACTGAGTACTTTATAAGGCAAAGACTTATTTAGTCATACAGTGAAGTTCTTTTGGTAGGTCTTAGGAAAAATGCACCAGTCAGGAAGAAGATTTCTGCTTTGCAGAAATGGGACTCTCCCACACTGAATCTGCAGATGCCATACAGAATTTTGCACTGGTCCCCATGGGATCTGATGCCTGTGTAGAACAAACCCTGGTTTATTTATGAGGTTATGGGACTCTGCATAAATGGGGACAATTTTGTGTTGTGAGGTCACAAAGATTGGGTTTGAGGGTTTGGATTCCTGTTTGAACATTGTTGGACACATCTGTTTGACCCAGGCCAGCATGAAGGATCTTGCACTCACTTTGAGTGCTCCTTCAAGTGGTGAAAAGGATGAAATTTCAAATTTCATAAGTCTTTTCACTGGACATCTAGGGATTTTAGTCCTCTGATTTATGCTCAGGCCAGTGTTGATGTCACTTGAAACTCACATTTTTGAGCACTTACAGGCTGAAGGTCCCTTTCTAACTCCGTTGAGCAGCTGAGTCTTCTAAACTAAGTGACAGGGAAAATCATCTTTGTTTGTCCCTGCAAAAATGAATCATAAATGATTATAAATGGTCCCCAGACATGGCACAGACAATGGAGAGCATGATAAAAAATAGGATTTTGCTTTGGGAGGGACAAGATGATTTGCAAACTCCATCAGGATAACTCTGCAACCAGCACACACCTGTAGACGAGATGTTTGAAATCCATTTTAATGCCTAATTTCTATTACTATGCTTAAATAAAATGACCCCCCCTAAACCCCTTAAGGTAATGTTACTTTTCCTTAAATATATAAGCAGCTTCAGCCTACTTTTGAGGGCTGTGGAGAGTGCAAACACCTCCCAAAATCCCAGAGACTCCAGCAGGACTTTGCAAAAGGACGGCTTATGCTGCTAATCTCTTTCAGATCAACTGTAGGGTTATCAAGGAGATGGACACAGCATCTGTGGAGAGATGTGGCTCTTTGGAGGGAGAGACACTGTGCTGAAAACTGCAGCCTCATACAGGCAGAAATCTTTGTGTGAAGAAGTTGTGACATGAGTGGAAGGATGTTGGTGCTTCAGCTAAATCTCATTAAGCTTTAAAGAAGCCATGTAAAAAAAAATTAAGTGGGAGAAAACCTCTTTAAGGGGAGATTTATGCCAGAAAAACTGGAATCCCTCTCACCTCCCTGTCTGTCTAGAGGTTGGGTGTCTCCTTTAAGCTGGTTTGATCTGCTGCTTCCCACTTGGCACGGAGGAAGCAGCACCTCTGCAGGTTAAAGGGGGTTTAGGATGGTTTGTTCTACAAGAAGTGAGGTGGATTATCTGCTGGGAGTGATTATGGAACGAGGATCTGGACTGCTGAGCTTTTTCTGTTGTTAATGCTATGTTTTTCTCTGCAAATAGTGATTTAAATTATGGAAAGTCCTCTGGCCATTGTTGTCCAGGAGTCTGAGAGATGGACACCCTTATATCCTCTTCTAAACCTCAGACACAATTAGGGTGACTGAGAGACTATGCTGCATCCTTCCAGCATCCCTTCCCCTCCTTCAGCCTAACCCAAATGAGAGGTATAAATGCACCAGATTTCCCGGAGAAAGGTGCTGGTGCTGGTTGAGCACCTCATCCCACCTCCTTCGGCTGCTTTGGACATGAGCTTTTCCATGTGTTGGATCCCTCCTATCCCTCCTTTTCCCCCTCACCTTCTCTTGACTCTGTTTTGGGCCCACCCAGCTGTGGTTGTAGCAGATGAATCCTTCACAGAGGGTCTGCCTACCAACACCAGCTCCTTGCATATGGATATTCAGGAGCTGATGTTGTTCCATTTGCTCCACCAACAAAAGAATTCCAGCTCAGGCTCTCAACATTTACCTTCCCCTGCCCACCTGGTGGAGTTCATGGAGTTCTCAGGTATTTTCTTTCAGTGCTCTTTTCTGTTATTCCTGAGACAAGGGCAGCTGAGCTGGGATCTGCTCTGCCTTTTGCTGGGGATATGATGAAGGAATGAATCCTGACTCACATGAAATCCCAGCTTGGGTCTTGTCCCCAGCTTTACTGAGGCTGGGTCTTGACCTCAAATTCCAGCTCCAGCACTTTTGCTGCTGGACATTCTCACTTTTGTGTGAAACCTCTCCATTCTTTGAGTGCTGAAGGAACAGCAGACACAGGTCCCACCCAACCCTCTCACACAGGTACCTCTCATGGTCAAATAATTCCTGCAAGGCATGATGAGGTTTTTATTTCTTTCACCCACCCAGTAGAATGAAACCCAGGAAATTAAGCATTTTCCTGGTTGTATCCCTTTCTACTCATCCTTCCAAGATCAGCCCTTTCTACCACCATGCTGCGTGGCAGAAATGCTTTGGAGGAGATGCTCTGGGTCTGACTAAAGACCTCCAGTGTGTTCTCTCTTCTTTCCTCAACAGCTCTCTTACCACAGGAATTAGGAGACAAAAGCAAAGCCTCCTGATAGCCGTTCCAATAACCCCCTTTCTAAAGCTCCTTAAACAGAAGTTGACCTGTTTGGGGAGAAGTGAAGCTTGGGCTTGGCATTACAATCTAAAAAGCAGAGAGGGCTGGGGCTTGGAGGGGGGATGTATGCCACAGGAAATGGTGAACTGACCTGGTTTGGTACAAAATGAATCCATAAGAGCCTGTGGGCGATGCATGGAAGCAGCTGGAGTCTGGACACATCAGCAGGGGCTGTACCTGGGCTTTTAAACCCTTCCCTGGGCTCTTTTTCCAGTGTTCATTCCTCAGGGATGCAGCTGATGCTGCCCCTGTTTAAAGGCAGAACTGGCCCCTTCCTGTGACGAGCCACGCTCCCACAGACTCGATGAGCCAGGAGAGACTTGATTTGATTTTTAAACACATTGCCTGCCTAACAGTATCCATCTCCCTTTGCTTTTCGCCTGCTTTAAGTGAAAATCTTTGAGGCTCTCTTTCACAATGGCCTCTTTTAGCATTTAATTTGCTTTTATATAATTATGGACCGGCCACGAGGAGGATGAGGAGGATGAGGAGGAGGAAGAGGAGGTGGAAGAGAGAAGCACTGAACTGGCATGGAGGAGCTCTAGGAAACCTTGCACCGGAGTCAAGGAGCGCTGAGCAAGCTCTGCTGCTCTCATCCATCAGCGCCTGCATCCTTGGCACAGGCGGGGAGGGAGGCAGGGAGAGGATGCACTGGGGACCCGGCGAGCTCGGCTGCTGGCGTGTGGCAAGCAAAAAGCCCTCCAGGGCTCGGGGAGGCAGGCAGGGACGTGCGCTGCCTTGGAAGAGAGCGCAGCCGGCTCTGCGCGCTGGAGGAGCAGAGGAACTGCAAAGCCGAGGAAGGGAGGGGAGGGGGATGCTGGAAAAATGATGCAGCTCCTTCAGTGGATTAGGCAGCCGTGCCTGGAAGTGGCAAAGTGGAAGAGCCACGGATTTGAAAGCCTGGAGGGATTATTCTCCTGCGCTGTCTGACTCGCAGCACAACAGAGGCCAACAAACTTCACCCGGCGCTTTCTGCAGCGAGCCCAACAATCTGCAGAACACCCTGGCAAACCTCCTGGGTTGTGATTTCTGCATTTTCAGTCGGGTTAATAATGTTGGAAGCAGCAGGAAAAGGGGGCTGGCAAATGTGAGCCATTCTAGCAGGAGTTGTAGAAAGGCATATTCATCATGTCAGCACTTTGGAGGCCTGGAGAGCTCGTGATGAGAGGTTTCAAGAAAAGACTGCATAAATAGGAGGAGGGAGGCTTCTATAAACAACTGTGATGGACATGCTGGAAATACAGAGGAAAGGGAAAGTGGCTGACCTTCCTTGATGCTGTAGGTACTGGTGACCTTGGCAAAACCAGCAAAATTTAGCCCCAAAGCAAATTCCAATTTCAGTTCCTACCTCAGCTCCAAAAACTCCTGAGAAATGATAGGCCCCAGCCAGGCCCTCTATGGGAAGCTGAGTGCCACCCGTGGTGCACGAACTGAACAGGGGCTGAATAACCAAGCAGCTCCACTGTCGGTCCTTGGAAAGGATGACTGTCCCTCAGGCTGGTCACCCCCAGGCTGCCAGCATGGCCATGGGCTGGGAGAGCTGCTCATGCCAGGGCTGAGACAAGGCCATGTCCCTCTCAGCTGGGACAGATGCCCCGTGCTCAGCACATCACAGCAGTGGCGGACATCAGAATTGGCAAAATATTCCCTGTGGTGGCTTCCAAGCCTTGTCTCATAATTTAATTGCCTTTCCAATTAAACCTCCACTACATCCCTGTCCCTGCACAATCCACTCCACTGCCTTCCCCTTCTCTTTTCCTGGGCTTGGTGAGAACCATGGTACCAATGACAAGACCTTAATTCCTGGGCACTCATCAGAAAAGGCCCTACAGCATTTAGCTGTTAAAAACCCCCTTTTTACACTTAACGCCATCAGAGAATTACATAGGCATTGAACCATTTGTCCTCGCAACACAAACTCAAATCTGGCCAGTTTTATCGCCCTACTTATGTAAGGAGGGAAACTGAGGCAGGGAATGGTTGTGTCTGCCCAGTGTGAAGCGACAAACAAGTGGTGCCACAGCAGCAGAGCCTGCTTGCCTCCTCCTGACACCACCAGCATTCCTTTAGCCTGGACTCGGCGTGGAAGAGCTGAATCCCATCTTTTCCTTGACACTGACTTTTTTTTTTTCTCCTCAGAGGAACGAGCAAAAATTTTACCCAGCGAACGCAGCAGAGATTTGTCCCAAAGTGGAAGCCCCCAGCCAAGGTGGGAAGCGAGCAACACATCCATCAGCTGCTGGGCGCTGGGAGCAGAGGGGAGAGGCTGGAAAGGTGGGGAAGAGGGGGCCACTTACATGGTAATGTTTCTGCACGGTTCTTTTGGATCATTATGCAGAGCTGTAGCACCAGTTGAGGGGCGCTCTCGAGGAATGTTTCCAGGAGGCGCAGCATGTTTACGTCTGCATATTCGTACATCATAGCCCAGTAGAAACGCCGCTGGTGTTCCTTCCGCCTCTGGCTCTGGATGCCCAGGTACATTGTTCGGATATACCTGCAGAGAACAGGAGGGAAAAGCTGGGCGTGAGATGTTGGAGCTGCAGCAAAATCTGTTCGTGGGGAATGGGGTTCTGGGGAGACGCTGGGGTTTGCACGGTTCTTCCGCTCCCTCCTGTCAGATCTGAGGAGGACTTTTAGAACTGGACTCATCATTAATGTTGGAAAAGACCGCCAAGATCATCAAGCCCAACCTTAAACTGGATGCCACCCTGAGAACAAGACAATATAATGAAGTGCATTTGGTGTTGCAAGGGTGGGAAAACTTTAACTGGTACCACCCAAACCTGGGAGTTGGAAATGCTTTTGAAACACAAGAAAACAACTCATTTTCATCACAGGAAGAGAACCCACATAAAAAATACGGGTCCTAACACTTGGAAGTGGCTTGACAGACCATCTTACCTCCCTCAGCACTCTGGTAAGGAGCTTCTCTGACAGATCCCAGAGCCCAAGATATGTTTGGGCCACACTCTCAGGCTCACTGTGGGACTCAGGAAGTTGTCCAGGAATTAGAATCTGACAATCCTTGTGGGTGTCCTCCAGCTCAGAATATTCTGTGATTCTATGATTTGACCCTAGTTCATCATAGTGGAGCAACGAGACACCTTCATATGCTGCACGTGTGTGACCCACAGGTGTGAAAGGCCACAGTTTGTCACTGGTCAGCTTTGAGACTTTGGGCAATGCTGGAGTACAAGGACGTGTCTCGTGCATGGGCAGGCACAGCTCTGCCATTGCCTCTGTCTCAGGATTTGTGGCATTTAAGAAAAAAACGCTAACAGAGTCCTTTCTAATGCCCGTTGATATCACAGACTCCCAGAATGGTTTGGGTTGGAAGAAACCTTAAAAATCATCTTGTTCCAACCCCCTGCCATGAGCAGGGGCACCTTCCACTATTCCAGGCTGCTCCAAGCCCTGTCCAGCCCGGGCTTGGACACTTCTAAGGATCGACAATCTAACGTTGGGTTTTCTTCCTTCTCATCCTGAGCGGCGGCTGTAACCTCGTTTGGGATGGGAACCATTTCACCTAATGCCGACCCTAAAGCAGTGTGAGGCAGTCAATAGTCGGAAATGTCTCCTCGCGGGGCTGTTCATCTGTCCCAGCTCCGCTGCCAGCGCCTTCTGGAGGCTCTGGGAGGGGCTCACGGCACAAGCTGGGGTTTGGCCAAAACGATTAGATCATCCCCTGCCACTCGGGAGAGAGGAGGGAAGGACGTGAGCCTGGACAGCCTCCGGATCCCCGAATTACACCCAGGCACGGGGAGCTGGCATGGGGGACAAACAGAGGCATCTCTGCGAACCCCATCCTTTATCCAACATCGCGTCCTTCCCGCCCGCTCGCAGCTGGCTGGCACAGGAGGCGAAAAATCCCGAAAGAGGACTGCAAGGACACGCAAAAAATACCGCAGGAAAGCCACCAGATGGGGCTCGACACCCGAGAAAATGCTGCGCCAGTCACACGGCACTGGTGACACTGGTGTGACATCCACAGCAGACCCCGAGTGGGACGGAAATGGCCGGGGAGCATCTGCTCTCCCAACACACCCAAATCCACCACCTGCACTTGGCATTTCCATGGAAGACCCCAATCCCAGGAGCTGCAGCGTGACACGGGCATCCTGCCTTCCCTTCACCCAGGATCTAAATAAACGCAGTTTGGCTGGAAAGGCAGAGTCAGGGAGAGTGTCGTGGCTCAAGGAGAAAGCAGAGAAAAGGAGAACGCAATGTTTTTTATCGTGTCGGTGACACAGGGCCAGCAAAAACCAAGTGGTGGTGCCCATAAGGTGCTGCCCCTTGGCAAAGGTACCGCCACCTCTGCCAAAATTCCACCAAATCTGCCCTGTAGTCCTGGATGGTCTCCCCCTCCCCAGAAGCTTCCATTCCTTCTGGTACACAAAACCTAAACTCCTCTTCAGAAGGTTAAACCACTCAATTCTCATTACCTCAGCCAGGGACAAGAAGAATTTATTGGTTTTCACCCTGCAGCAGTCTTTTACCTGTTTGTACATAGTTGCCATGTAAACCTTTCATTTCTCCAGATTAAAAAAAAAAAAAAAAAAATCACAGTTCCATAGAATCATAGAATTATTAAGGTTTGAAAATACCTTTAAGATCATCAAGTTCAGCCATTTCCCCAGCATTGACAAGGCCACCACTAACCTGTGTCCCCAAGTGCCACATCCACATGGCTTTTAAGTCCCTCCAGAGATGATGACTCCACCACCTCCCTGACCAGCCACTTCCAATGCCTGATAACCCTTTCCCTGAAGGAATTCTTCCTGATGGCCAACCTGGACATTCCCTGGTTCAGCTTGAGGCTGTTTCCTCTCATCCTGTCCCTGTTCCCGGGCAGCAGAGCCTGACCCTGCCCTCTCCCCCAGCTGCCCCCTTCTGTCAAGAGAACAAGAAGGTCTCCCCTGAACCTCCTTTTCTCCAGAAAAAAAAATTCTTTCAGCACCTTCCCACAGTTCACATTCCTACACCTCTACTTCTTCCACACTGCTGTTCCCACCAGCTGTCTCCACTTTTGGATTAGTTTTAAGACCATCTTTACTTTTCCCAGCCCTCTATGTTGGCTGAACCAAACTGCAACAATTGGGCCACTCAAAAAGATTAGGAAGAAATTATCAGAAGGGACGCAATGTCCTGCAATGATTTCTCCTGGATCTCTGTGTTATGGTGAATATCTAGGGATTCACCATCATCTAACAAAAATTTAGGTTTTTCTTACTGGCCACATAAAGAGAACATGACACCAATCCATGGATGCAGGATACATGGGAAAATATTCAAATTCATGGGATAGACACAGTGTCCTGATCCTGTTTCCATCAGTGGCAATAGCACAAACACCAAATTCTCCCTGACTGCTGAGCCCACAGCCCTTGGCAAAGGCCACCTGTGTTGTGCCTCTTCCATGGATGGGGAGACTGAGCCAGAGAGCACCAAAAAGGTGCTCTCAAAGTTTTTTTGGCATCAAACCCCAGATCCTTTAGTGCTGTCCCCTGCCTCTGAACACCATATGAGTGGAGCACAGTCCTACCAGCTGATGCTCCTCCATCCAGGGTGGACATAATTCCTTCACAGCATAAATCCCAGCCCTGCCCAATCTGACCCCAAAGGACAAATCTGTCCCTATCCTATCGGACTGTGACTACAGGAACCCCTTGGCAAATGTTGGGCAGCGTGACCAAAGCAGCTCCAAGGACCATTTGCAGCTGAAATTAAATGAATTTCCTTTTTCTTTATTTTCAGTCCATAAAAAAATATGGTGCTCTGTCTTCAGCATCCTTCAGACCAAAATCTGGCAAAGAGAGGAAAGGAATGACTAAGATACCATTCCTTCTTGATGCCAGCAGATTGTGGGAATAACTGAGGAAAGTAATATTTCCACCTTGTAGGCTTTCAGCAAGTAATAAATACCTACTTAATTAATCAACATAAAATTTCACCTAGCTCCAATATTGATAATTATTAACCCTATTTCCAAACACCAATGTACAGAACTGGTGTAAACAGTTTTATTCCAGGTCATCTGTTTACTTGTGTTATTTTATTTACTTCTTTGGGGGTCTTTCAGACTTTTCCTAACATTGGTTAAGTGTAGACAACTTAAGAAGAATTAAGGAAAAAAAAAAAATCAATGTCATTTCACCTGAAATTCATTGTTCCCGGTCAAGCTGGTGGCAAACAAGCTTCTATAATTAGACTTTTAAATCCATATTCAGGCCTGATCTTCAATCTTTAGCAACACGATGCTTCCTCTTATGTCAGTGAAAACCATTCACTGCTCCATGCTTTTGAAAATCAGGCTAATTTATTTATTTAAGAGCTTAATTTTGGAGACAGGAGCCTAATTTTTTTTTTTTTTTTTTTTTTTTTTTGAATGCTGGCTATTTTTATATATGAGTGTGTATATTTGTGTGTATTTTTAGTCCTAAGTCTCATCACGGCTTCAAGAGATAGAACTAATTTGGGGTTGGGAGGGGGATTGGGGTGATTTTTAAATTTTTTTTTAGTGCACAAAGGATTTGCTGTCCCCTCCCTCCTGGCAGGGCTCCCAGAATTCCTGTTGGTATAATTACCCTCACTCTTATTTACTACTGATGTCAGAGCAGACTTTGCTTGGGTCAAAGTCACTGCTGTTCCTGCACCAGAGCACCTTTCTAAGGAGCCAAATCCACGAAATGTGGTCAAATAACCTTTAGAAAGAGCTGCAGGAACCCACCAGGAGGGAGAAGAGGAGATGTTCCTGCTGTAAAAACACAGCCCACCATGAGCTCTGTGGGAAAAGCTGCTCCATGGGGATGACAGGGGATGGATTCTGGAGCTGAGGCTCTGGTTTTGTATCATGAAATGAAGCTGGCCAGCTGGCAAGGCTCAACTCTGCGTGGCTACATCCATCTAGTTGGCCCTGGCCAAAATTTCGAGGGACTGTGTTGACAATTTTACAGGGTGAACTATTGCAGGGTTGTGCTTGGGCCTTGGAACGGTTGGATTTACCAGAGGATTTTCCCAGTGTCACCAGGAAATGTAGGCAGATGCCTCTGGCAATGGGCTGGTTGAGGGGAGGAGGATGCAGATGTGTAAAAGGGTCAGAGCCCTTTTGGGAGCTCAGAAAGGCACATCAGGCACATCAGGCTGTGCTTTGGGGCAGAAGAGTGCTGGTGGCCTGTACCACAGCCACAAGCTGACCAAGGGCAGCAATCCCAGTCTGATCACTTTTCCTGAGGACAATGGGCCAAGACACAATAAATCAATTCTCTCATCCTCCAAAACCAGGAAACTTCCTCCATATTCAGCACTGGGAATGATTCCTGGACCTTATAGATTGCTGAAACCTGCACAGGTTTTGATGACTTGGGAGAGTCCGAATATGCCTGGACCATTCTAATGATTATATTCAGATTTTGCCATGGAATCACAGAATACCCTGAGCTGGGAGGCACCCACAAGGATCATTGAGTACAACCCCTGCCCCTGTACAGGGTGTGG